AAAAAAAAAAAAAAAAAAAGAAGAAAAAAAAAAAAGTGATAAATTAAAATAAAAGACCGGTGGGAATGACTATGGTTATATTCTATCAGGAAAATTCACACCAGAATACTGGGCCATTAGTGTAACGTCAGAAGTAGATTCATGCTTCTCTAGCAAAAGAACTGCTTGGAGTTTGCTGACATTTATTGTATCATCAGTATGAAAAGCCAGAGTTTCAGTGGCACTGAACACTCACCAGATTTTAATGTCAAGGGTTTTTTTTTAATTTTTTTTTTTTTTTTTAGAAATGTGAAACATAGGTTATAAGTAATTTGCTTTCATGTCTGAGATTCTAACACCTTGTGACACTATGTATAAGACTTTTCCATACATCTGTAACTGAATTTACATTGTTGCATCAGCAGAACACTAGGAAGAGAAGTAGCTGTGCCTGTTCCCTAACAGTATATTGCAGTTCCCACCTAACCACTTTTTCCATGAAGTGGTACAGAAGGAGATAACATGTCTTGTGAAGAACAGTGGCACTCAGAGACGATGGGGGAAATTGCATCCATTTTGATTTATGTTGTAAAATTAAATTTTTTAACATTAAACCATAACATTATTTAAAGAATCAAGATGGTAGATAGTTTTTAGCTTCATTTATTTTGGAGAGGCTCTTAGAATGGTTTCTTAGTTCTTTGAAGAATGGCTCCATAGCTTCTCCACCTCTGCATGGAGCTTCTATATATTCTGCATCTACAAATTAAGTGGACATTTTCAGGGTATATGAAGTTGTGTTTAATTTTATGGAGGGATAGGATTTGACCCATAATCTCTTCAAAGTTCTGGGAAGATATTTCTCATAAGTGTTGTCATTTGGGATTTAAAATTTTCCAAATTACCCCCAAGGAAGTCTTCATTTCCACATGCTGAGCATGCATATGGTCAGATACACTATGTGAAGCGTAACTAAAATGAAATGTGCAAATTAAGTAGATCACACATCAAGTTCCACATTTTTTGAAAGTATTTGATGATGTACAAGGGAAAGCTGAAAAGGTCTAAGTGATAGACTTACCTATTGTTAACCTTAAGGTGTGCTTTGTGTATATCTTAACTATGCAAGATTTCATTTAACCCTTTTTTCCTAGGGCGAAGATTCTATGCATTGTCCCATTGCTGTGTCTTAGCAGTGCTTAAACTGAGACAACCTGTGCAGCTGAAAGGTTTTTTAGCCTTATATCTGTTTCATTAGGTCTAATTCATGCATGGTAATACTTCTGTTCGCTCTAAAGTGAACTGAAAACACTATTTTCTCACAAGTCACAAAACAATCATTCGGTGATAATGTTTTTTGGTCATTCAACTCATGCAGCTACAGTATCCCACAATAATACTTCATACCTCTGCTGTGAGAAATCTTTTGGACCATTACTGCTGAGTATGCTTCAATGTTGCATAGATTCAAAACAAGAAATTAAAAAGCTGATCAGCCTAGCTATCCCTCTTTATCTGCACAGTGTACTCGAATGTTTTTCTTTCAGAGCTACTGTGACCTGTCGAGGAATCTAGTCTAACAAATCTTTAATCTTGTCCTTACCTAAGTAGTCACATGGCTCTTACTCAGTAACTAGTTTTTGGGGGAAGTTGGAGGGGCATTAAAGCAGTTCATTAGCAGTATGAAAAATGTGTTGTAATACATGCACATAGTACTACTGAAAAGCATTTCCAAAGCAATCGCTCTATATGGAGGATTTTAAAATCTGCTTCCTTCTCACTTCCTAAAGAGAATTATATGTAGTGAAGGCTAAGTTATGTATTACAATGTAATTCCTACTGTATAAAAACTACTTCTAAATTATATGTTCATAGAACAGTTACAAATGGCAAATACTTCATTTTCTACTTGTGTAATTGTACTGCAGTTTAAGGTCTTCTTATTTCAGAGCCACTCGATTTTCTGGGAGAGGAAGGTGGTGGTACCACAGCGGCCTCTGTGGACAGTTTTCTGGACAATAGTGTGCTGTTACCATCTCACTCACCTTTACAGCCTGGGTGGGTTTGCTGCCTATCCATGTCCCGGGTATCACACCATCTGCCTGGAGTCATGGCCCAGGGTAGAGACTGAGTGAAAGCACCAGTAAAATTAGAACAGTGAAGTAAGTGCATGGCATAAGTTAGGAACCACTTTTTCTGCCTTACTGAGCCTCCTTTATGCTGAAATTGTAACAGTGCTCTAGACTCATCAAAACTTTCAGCCTGCCTCTTAAATTTTTATGGGACTTTTAAAAAAACAGTGATCCTAAAAAAAGTGGCTAACATTGCCTTGAAGAAGACAGATTATTAAGGCCTATTGCAGAAGCACCCTCACAAGTTTCTGCTTCACTTATGATCCTGCTAAACTTGTAGGGCCAAACCCATAGACGGCACAGGCTACAGTACAAACACTCCTCATTGCATCTGTAGGTTGAGCCTGGTTAACAACATTTTCTCTGAAACTAGTCCACTGACTGCCAAATGTCTGCTGGTCTTGCTGCGTATGTGCTGAAAAGGACATAATTAATTATCATTTCTTACCATACACAGAGCTTGCACATACACTGCTGAAGCACTCAGTGAGCATAGTGAATTGAGTCTGCTGTGTAAACTAAGAGTACTCTGAATAGAGTTTTACAACTGCAAAACTGATAAGATTACCAAATGAAAATAGAATTTACTCCGTAAAACATGTTTACATTGGTCTTTAGATGAAAATAAAGTAAAAAGAGCATGGAAAATAAGTACTTGGGCCAAAGATACTAACTTGTAGGCTTAATACGAATTATAATTCCTTATTTAAATATCTAAATAAGTGGCCTAATCAGCAAACATGTTGAATATCAACTTATTCTAGCAACTTTATTTACTGAGTGTTCTGCACACTTCAGTGATAAAACTAGTAATATGGGTACATAAGATACGGTTTTAGGCACTTGTGAAAATACCATTACAGTACTATTTTTGTGAAGAGATCTTTTCAAATAAAAAATAAGGCTTTTTTTGGTATATCCTGAAATGTTCTTAAAACACTTTGAATTCCTTTTCTTAAAAAGTTACTATTTTTTTCAGAGTTTTTCACAAGAACAGTTATACAACCTAGTAGTCTGATGAAGAATAACTTACTGCAAAATAATTTCTTTAATTTAGATAACTTCTTTAATTCATTCCAAGTCACTCTTCAGTTATGTGTAGGTTCTATTGCTAAAAGGTCAATGTGTTCACTATAGCAGTCAAATTCTAAAAATGACATGCTTAATGGCATATACGTTTCTCTGAAATATTCATTACTTGTGACCCAAGAATTGGTTGAATGCCTGTCAAAATTATGGTACTTCCTAAAAATTATGTGATTTTCCCATACATTTAACCATTTTTATTCATTTTAATACTGTTTCATCATACATCACTTTTACTTGATTTCAGATAGACATAAGAATTGACAGAGTTGTAAAGACAAACTGTCAGATTATTATTTCCAGGTTATCTAAAAGCACTATTACTTGGCTTCTGTTTACTTCCAGAAGCTGCAATGAAACCTTCATCTCGCAGCTAATACTTTATGTCATAGTCTACTAGCATTTCATAACCTACTTTTCTCACTTCTTTACTTGGTGGGGTTTGGTAACTTCTGTTTTAAAAACATTTCACAGGAAGCCTGGTCTTCCCCTTAACTTTAGCCTCACAGATGATTAAGTTTTCTTTTTCAATGCAGTGTGACATCATCAGACATATCTTACATGGCCCTCTCAACATTTTCCAGAGAATTCTGTGAAGGTAATTGGCAAATGTCCATTCTTTTGGTTTTGAAATAACCTTATAGTATCAAAGATTTGTGATACACATATTTTCTTTCTAAGCAAAGAAGACACTTGATTTTGATGAAATTGTATTTCACCTTAGTTTTCTATAATATCTCATAATGTGAATTTTCTAAAAACTTCAAATAGCATATATTCACTGCAGATATTGGTCAGTTTTGAGTATAATGATATTTGTAGCATTTGTTTTTCCCACTTTCCCACACATGTTAATTGCTGGTATTTTAGACCGATATCTTTACTCATGTTTATACCAAAACCTGAAGAGCCAAGAAGCTGTTTCTATCGTGACAGTTCACTTCACCAAAGCAGTTCTGTGTACATTTCTTAGTACATGATATCTTCTGCTGTAACATTTGCTTCTTCTGTTTTAGTCTTAATTTTAGGGAAGTGAATCCCACTAATGGCTGTTAGCAGCAAATTTACTGCATGTGCTGTGCCACTTGCCACACAAAGCCAAAAACAGTCTTCAAACCGTTCTTCTAAGATAACAAATTGAAAGACATTTTCCCGAAAATTGGCAATTCTTTCTGTGAGCTGATGAAGTTTCACAGCAGCCAAAAAGCTGGTGACTGCAAGGACTGTAAATCCACCTGCAACAAAATGAAAGAAGTATTTACCATTGTAAAATTACCTTGTGAAAGACAGACATTTTGGTTGTGCTTGAGAAGGCTTATTGAATACAACAGTGAGCATTATACAGAGTAGGGATAGACATAGGCATGGCTTAAACACCTTCAGAATGCTTTATTGTATGGCCAAACATCATACCAGTGTTTGTAATAAAGTCCTTTTGTCAGTGATATAGAGCCTAAAGACTGGCATTCAAGGCTCCTGTAAACAGTTGACTAGACACAATAAGCCGAGATGCCACCGGACATTTCGGGTTTGATAGATAAGAATTCACTGCAAACTTAATTTTATTCATAAGTATTTAAGTTGAGGAGATATTTAGTAAGGCAAGAGAAGGAACTTTGACTTTTAGCATTTTGTATGAATGCAACTGGTGAAAAATATTGGTGAATTATTTTACCTGCAAGGAAGTTCCAAAGGCATACTCCTGCTGGACCTTTAATAGCCCGGTAAGGAACTTTTATTGCGTTAAGAATGCAGAATCCAAAACTGACCAGAGAAAAGAAAATGGCCACACAGAGGAACATTATAATCATCACGTGCAGGCCTGTGTTCAGCTTTTTCACCATGTGTGGGAAAACTGTCAAGAAAAAAAATAATCTATTCAGTGTTTATTTTTTCTTGAAAACAGTAAACATCATGCTGTGCTGATGCTACAAATTTAAATGATAGTTAAAGTAGGCTATTTTTTGCAGAGGCGATCAATTCAGGTAGTTACATCTTAGTTCATGATGTATTATTATCTGTCACAAACCATGGACATTCTACTACAGGAATAATCCTTTACACATGGTCTGTGAATAAGGATTCAGGCTTAAGTCCTGTTTTATTTATCTGGTGGTCTTAATGTCTTTATCTCTGCTGCTGTATCATCTGCTGCATTCTTTCCTGTCTCTTTTTTCACTTCTGCTCTCCATCCCAAACTCTATTTTTGAGCTTCCCATTCCTGTCCCATGCTTTTATTCTCATCCCTTTGAAGTCTGATAGTCCCAGTCTCCTTCTCGAGCCCCTCATTGCTTAAAACTGTACCACTCATTTCTGTGTCATTTTCTCATGTTATTATTCTTCCTCTCTTTAATATTGGCTTCAGTGAGATCTTCTCTGATTTCATACTTCCTAATTCCACAGGTTTCCACTTTCAGATTCCCTTCTTGGTTTCTCATCTAGTGCTTATGGCTCCTTCATGCTTTTCTGGGTATGTGGCAGTGTTTTAGTTACATCTGTAGGAAGCTTGTAAAGTACTGCAGTTGGGTGGGCTTTAGGTGAAGGGCTCACGTGTTTTGCTATAGTCATGAGCTCTTCCTCAGCAGCCTGTGATTCTCCTGTCTCTAAAGAACAGTAACCTTCTTGGTTTTGTCTTCACCAATGGAGTTACGTGATTGGAGGGCCACACTGGCCAACAGCAGGGAAGTGTGGAGCACCTGAGAGTTCAGTAAGAACCTGCAGCCCTTCAGTAAGAGAATCAGAAGAAATGTGAGCAGGGAATTGTAGGTGATATGCTGACTGACAAGAAAGAGAGAAGCTGATTGAGAAGAACCCTAAAATAGAAGCTGATCAAGAAGGACCCTTCAGGTAGCATAATAAATAGATTACTTCCTATGATGCATAACTGAAAAAAAAAATCCAAACAAGCCACATAAAAACTAGGCAGCAATAATTGGTAGATGTCACAGTGAATATCAGGCGTATGATTTGGTCATTGTGACATGACAAAATTCTAGTAGATTATCTAGAAAATGCCATATTGTACAAATTCCATACAAACACTGATGACTCGACAGTTCTGCCTTTTCAGTAGTTCATTCTGGGATTGTAGTTGGACCCGGTGTACATAGGAGCTACAGAAGAGACTCTGACAACAAGAAGAAAAGAGGGCAGTCAATGAGTATCAGAAGTATATATGAGAAATGGAAAGCCAGAGACTAGCTTGCTTTCTTACTGGAAAATAACTGGCAATGTAACAAGGCACATGGAAAACCACAAGGCACTTCCTTACAAACCAGCATAGTTTTTGATGTGGTTGTAAGGATTCTCTTGCCTCTTTTCTGAGGCTCTCAGCCAAGTCCTGAAGACATGACCAGTGAGCCTGGCTTTGCATGTAGAAATAAGAATCCTCAGGAAGGATATTGCCATGGATGCTCCTGACACATTCCAGCTGTGTTTGCTATGCCCAGGCAAAATACCTGGCTTCTCCAGCTTGTTCTCAGGGCTTGATTCAGCTGTCAAAACATAAGCATTTTAGGCTGATCTAGATGCTTTAGGACTACCGTAACAACCATGTGGGTCTCACACACATGCTGCATTATGGATGGGACACCTCCAGAAGCAGCAGCTGGAGGCCAGATGATAGACCTTGAGGAGTCTAAAATAGCACTGGACACCTATTATGGCAATTGAATCATGTTGTCATTGTCCCAGTTAAAAGAGTGTGCCAGCTGTAAGCCTACTTCAGTGAATGTTAACACAGCGAAAGGTGATGTATCCACATATTACTGCAATATGAAATTCCAAAGTGTCAGAGCTACTGCAGAACTGCGGTGGATGAGGTGCTAGTTTTCAGTCTTGCTCTGTGCTGCCTGTGCAGTCCATTTATGCTAACACATTACACAGGAAAACTCTCCCATGTCTTGCTCCCCAGTAAATTTAGAATGCTTGGTGATTAAGGGGAACATTCAAAGCAAAAAATGTCAACTCAGACCCAGAACCCCCAGAAGTCCTGCTGACCCCTGCGCAAAAGCATTTCACAGCTTTGTAGACTACCGTGATCCCATTTTGCAGTATTGCAGTATTGTGAAAGTATCAAACCTGATAGAGCTATTAAAATATTTAAAAGGGAAAATCTCTGGGACACTTGTTAAGTGCACAGTTGTGCCCACTGCACTTAATGACCCAGTTTTACAGTTCCAACAGGGTGAATTCTTATTAGCTTCAGTGAGAGCTTTGTTTGCCTAAGGAGTATAGCATCAAGTCCTCCAAATATGTATGGATGCAGTCCAGAGGGAGGGTAGAACATTAGGCCTTCCTCTCAGCTCACACAGTAATTAGTCAGGAAGAGTCCAGAAAGTTATACAAAGATTTAAAGGAGATCGGCTACTTTTTTTCCTCATTCTCTCTGACAGGATAGGGTGACAGAACTGGGACTGTGTTTCTGAATGCCCTGAAGAGGAGCAGAGCAGAGCTGAAAGAGCTTTGACCTGATGGCCTGTCTGCCAGCCTCAATAGACAAAGGATTTGAGCACAACTGCTATGTCCATGTCATGAAGTTGCAGCTGCAGTCAGAGCCTGAACAAGACTTGGTTATTGTAAAAACAACTAGTCCAAATTCATCACAGCTTAACAACAGGTCATACAGATTTAAGTTGAGGTCACTCAGGTTCTCTTCTCCATTCCCTCTGAAGTCCCACGGTCCTGCCTTCCTTTTGAGTTTCTGTAGTGGTGCTTGTGCTGTTGTGTAGTCAGCCATGATCCTATGGGAAACTAATTATTTTTTGGTAGGTTAATTTTTTGGCCAGCTTAACTTCCTGAACTACCTCACCACAACTACCAGAGCCACTGCAAAGGATGAGGTAGGACAGCATTGTTGTGGGCCAGGGAGAGGCCGACACTCTGCCAGCTTCAACTCATATTGGTTTAAGTTGCAACTGATTTGCACAGTGAACTACAAAGCTTCAGTGCAAGATACTATTTTCACTACAGCACAGGATGTGTGAAAACGGGAAACCATCCAACGTACAGATCAACATCTGAGTGATTTTGAGACCTCAAAATCTTTTAAGTTAAAAGGAATACATTTATAAGCATTTCTATATTTTTAAAGAGTTCAGCAATTTTTTCTCTCCAAAGTTACCAGAAAAGAAGGTAAAAATTTCTTCAACATGTTTAGGAGTATCTGCTATGGCAGACATATGCATTAGGACAGCTAGAAAAATACAGAAATGTGGCCAGCTAAATAAATCTCTACTTAAAAGAAAAAGATGGGAGTTCAACAGAGAAGGCAAGAGTAGGGGCACAGAGAGATTGCAGAGGAAGTGCTTGGCAGAGAGAAGAGTCAAGGGGAAAGTACAATTTGCAGGGTCATCTCCAAATGACTTTCACTCCCTTCACAAGACTAAAAGGAAACCCTCAATCTAGCTCTAGGGATTTTTTTTTTCCCCATCTTGATTCCAGGATCACAGAACTGGAAGAAAAAAAGCTAGCCTGAAATGATAGATTTTACATTCACACTCAGATCCCAAACCATAAAGACCACAAGCCAGCCACAAATTTAATAATAATTTGCATTCTGTAAGTTCTGTAAACAAAACGAATAGAGTGCTTTTGAAGTTGAAATAGACATTAGACTAAACATTCAACCAAAATTGTACTTACTTGTGAATTTGGAACGCCGCCCACCCAACCCACACTGGCGTATTTTGCCACCCTGAAAGAGTCCGTAGTAAATTTCTCCAATGAACTTGACCAGCTCTGGATCTGTGGCATTGACCAAATCAGCTCCTGTTTTGCAAAGGGTCTTACCAGTCATCCACTTTGGTGTCCCCATTGCAACAACAATCAAGATAAAAGACACAAAGCTTATTAGAGAAGCCAAGGCAAATAAAGTCTTTTTAAAGCAGCCAGGCATCCTAGTCGTCTCAAGGACTCATCTCCAAGACCCCTCTGCAGCAATCAGGCACATCTCCCATTTTTTCTCATGCTTGGAAACCCACAAGCGAATTGCAGGCTTTTCAAAATACATCTCATTGTATTTTGAAGCTCTATAAATTAACCTGTATGGTTAAAAATCAAGTAAAGAAAATTATTTTTCTGCAACATCTTGGAATGGTTGCAAGTCACAGCTTCATTACACTGTAGTGCGGCGATGGTTGTTTCTGCAGAAAGTAATCCTATATCTCTTGCCTGGCTAATGTTTCATCAGAGGTTTAATTGTCCTGCTCAAGTGACATCGAGTTCTTTAGGGTAACCTCATGGGAGGAAAATGAGGAGCAGAATCCAGTTTTTTAGATTATCAAGAACGTGGGTCAGTAGCCGCGTGCAAGGGGCAAGGCATTAAAACCCCGTAATTTGGCGCCTGTGTTGTGCTGCCGCCTCGGCGCTCACTCCCGCCGGGCCGGGCCTCTCCCGGCGCCCGCCCTCCCCCTGGGCGCGGAGCAGCGCAAACGGCGCTTCCCGGGGCCGAGGCCTCACGTAGGGATCTGGCGCATTAAAGCGGGCGGCGCACAGCTCCGGGCGGCC